AGAAAATAGACTCCATGAGTGCAGCCATTATGGAAAACAGTATGGAGATTCCTCAAAAATTAAAAATAGAATTACCATATAATCTAGCAGTCCCACTTCTGGCTAATATCCAAAGGAAATAAAAGCACTGTCTAAAAGAGATGCCTGCACTCTCAAGTTCATTGCAGCATTATTCACAGTAGCCATCACATGGAACAACCTACATGTTTAGTGAAAGATGAATGAATAAAGAAAGTGTGATATATATGTATATATGTGTGTATATATGTGCGTGTGTATGTGTATATCTATATATCTTATATTATTCAGCTTTAAAAAGAAGAAGGAAATCCTGCGGTTTGTGACCACATAGATGAACTGGAGGACACTGTACTAAGTGAGTAGGTCAGACTCAGAAAGGTAAATACCGCATGATCTCACTTATGTGTGCAGCCTACAAAAGTTGAACACATAGAAACAGAAGAAGAGTGGTTAACAGGGTGCTGCGGGGTGGAAGAAATGCCCGGATGCTCTTCAAAGGGTACAAACTTTCAGTTATAAGGTGAATAAATTTTGGAGACCTAATGTACAGCATGGTGACTATAGTTAACCATAAGGTACTCAATAGCTGAAGGGTTGAGAGTAGATCTGAAGGGTTCTCGCCAGATAAAAGGCAATTGTATGAGGTGTTGGCTGTGCTAACTGACTTGATCGTGGTAATCACTTTACAGTGTATACATATACATATAGCAAACCATTGTGTCGTACACTTTAAATATATTCCATTTTATTTGTCAATCGTGCTTCAGTAAAGCTGGGGAAAAAAGAAATTTCAAAAGCCCGGGAACTTCCAAGGTAATATTCACTATATCGTCTCAGATTATTAAAATCATGGTGCTTTTAACACTGGGTTGCAGAGTAGAAGAGTTAATCATGAAAAAAATGGACCACATGAGGGAGGAAAGTAAGTGTGTGAGGCCAAACAGTGCTCAGCATTTTGGTGGGTTTTGCCTAGAAAGGCAATACGGTGACTGGAACAGAACGTGTGGCCTTATCTCTGGAGGTCTGAGCTCTGGTCCTAGGTAAGACTTTGACTTTCTGTGTGACTTTGTTCAATTCCCTCTGCCTCACCCATCAAAGGCTGGGTTAGAAAAAATAATCTCTGTGTTCTGTAAATCACTGTGTCATTCGCTGTAAATCACAAAGCCTCAAAGGCTTAGTTTTGCATGGTGAGATTTATTCAAAGATAGGCTTTTGCCTTCAGTAGCTATGATCTGGGTCATCTATGGGGATATCAGATGAGGGAAGAGTTTATCACTGCCTGCATGCCTTAATACGCTCGTTCCTAGCACACTCCTTTAACTCAGCTAATGTTTGTTCAGTTGGTATCCTNTGCCTGCATGCCTTAATACGCTCATTCCTAGCACACTCCTTTAACTCAGCTAATGTTTGTTCAGTTGGTATCCTGTGCAAAGTGTGGGAAGTTCGCTGGGAGATAGAGGTACACTGCAAAGACTTTACAAGTGAGTTGAGAAATGTTGGAGAGACACCCTGTCTCTGATGTGATGGTGTTCATAAAATCATTGCATCTTCGTACCAAAAAGGGACCTTAAAAACCATCTAGCTTCACCATTAACCGATGAGGGAAATTTAGAGACTTCCTTGTGGACTGAAAGCTAAGCAAACGTAATGGCATTCAGGGTAGAGTAGAAATTAAAGACAGGCTTTGGCTCGGTGCAGGGAAGGGGGAGGCCTTTTGCTATAGGCAGCAATGGTCTTTGGTCATGGTTGGGGACCATGTTCCACATGATTCATTGTGTTCATTGTGTCGCAGATTCTTACCGCTGTTATTTCTGCTATTACCCCTTATTGCTGTTATCCTGTCTGCTCTATAATTTTCCCAGTACTGTTTGGGGGATACATTGGCTGCCATTTGATCTTAATGGCTTGAACAAAAGAGAAAGGGAGAGGAACTCTTTCATTTCTATCCAAGAAGATCCTTCCAGCAACCACAGAGATTCTCTTTCCTTCTGTTTGATGGGATAGATTCCTCCAAAGCTTGAGTCCTTCTGGCAGCATTGTTCTGTGTCCCCTGATTGCATTAGCTGCATAGCCTTTAAGGACAGACTTTTATCGGAAAATATGGGGATGCCAGGAAGAGGAGATTTACCCGTAGAAGCCATATGACTACATGATCCTGAGGCCTCCTGATGAAAATGCCCGTATTCTGCCAGTCATCACAGCAGAGGGAAGTGCTTGAGCGTCGACTGTATTGGGGGCCTTCCCAGGCCCTGGTTTGTTTGAGTGCCCCTGTGGATGGCTTGCCTTGCTGGTCCAGCAGAGAGCTCTTCCCACTTGTCCTTAGGCGGTGGGGCCAGTTTCAGCATCACAAGTTTCTTAGGTAGTCTCCGTGAAGCACAAGTGCCTTCTTTATTTTCACTTCCTGTGATTTTTGTTTAACTTAAAAATATATATATCTTTTACATTTAATACTTGGCAAATTTGTATACTTTCACCTGTTCCTTATTATTTATTTGTTTCTGATTGGAATCTCAGCTAACCTCATCCTTCAAATCTCAGTTTAGAGGACCCTCTTTCAGGGGGATCCTGACCACCTATCCTTGGTTGACTCCTCTTGCTGAGTGCTCTTTATAGCACCCTGAACTGCTTCTTACCTGTCTCCCACCCTGGGCAGACCATAAGTTGGGCAAGGACCTGGTCTGCCATGTGTACCATTTTATCCCCAGTTCTTGGCACAGTATCTACATCAGATATTCCATAGTTTGTTAAATTGAATTGAAATTTTATTCTCTTTTATCTCACCTTGTTTCTAATTCTTTGCAACTAAAGACAAGCTACAGAGAATATATTTAAGCTGGGAGTAGAATGTTCAGGGCAAAGAAGAAAATGAAATTGGATTTAGAAAATCTCATTTTGGCCTAAGGTGTTCTGAGTTTGGCGGGTGATTCTCCCTCTGGGCAATCAAGAGATTGCCTGCAGACCCACAGGGCCACAGGGCCAAAGTAATCAAATCTCCCTCCCCCTCTGGGGGGGTTTCTGAAAACTGTGCCCAGTGCCCTGATGTTCTGCACGTTTTCCCAGCCTGCCTGGTGGAGAGTCCTATACCGGGAAGGCAGGTCTGGAAATGTCAGAGAAGGGGAGAAGTTCCCAAAGTTATGTCAAAGATATGCTAGTGGGTAACCGAGTTGAAAGTTTACCATTCCTGAAATTCTCTTTGGCCATTTTCACTGGTATATGTTCTTTGGCTTTTGCTACAATGTCTGTGTTGTTTATAGGTTCCGTTTCCTTTTCCAGCCCCATTGGTGAAGATGTACCCCAAGGCCCCGTCCTTCATCTTCTGTTAAGTCTTTCTTCTTTGGAGATGGATTCTACTTCGAACACTTCATCTCTGGTTCTGAGTAAATCTACATCCCGATCTCAGACTCTTCTGTTGGGGCACCAGTTTGTGACTCTCCCCTTCTGGGAGGTATCATTCCTTGGATATCTGATTGTCATCTCAAAGTAAATATGCCCCTATAAGCCTTATCTTTTCTCCCAAAACATTCTCGCACAGCCGAGGTGCTCTGATTCCAGCAGTCACCACTGTAGAGTCTTTGAGTCTTCCTGCGCCTTCTATATATCTGCCTTCCTCCCCTGCCCCAACCTCGTGGTTTTCCAGATACAGTTGACTCTTTCTTGATAGTGCTTCTGGAATTCATTCCTCTCGTTCCCCTTATAACCCAGCTCTTCCTTTTTTCACAGCTGTGCTCTCCTAGACCAGCGATTTTCAACCAGTGTGCCACAAGAATCTTTAAAACAAACAATACCTGACTAGTCAGGGGCACTGACCTCTTTTCCCCTAGACTGTCAAATTTAAAAATGACAACAGCCAACCTAACAATAGCTGTCCGGTGCTAATGAATCGAAATTATATCTATTTTTTGTCAGATCAGCAAAAAATATACTTTTTGGTGTGCCGCAAAATTTTAGTAATTAGTTTACATGTGCCATGAGATGAGAAGGGTAGAAATTGCTGCTCTAGAACACAACTATAGGCCTTGGATTCCTGTGATTTGTATGCTAGTCAGCATTTGCCATGTGCTTGTTTTTTGTTGTTGTTGTTTACTTCTTATTTTAATGTCTCATCTCCCCAATTAGATAATTAGTTTCTGTGGGCAGAGATGAGGAGTTGTTTGTCTTCCTGTCTCTAGCAGTTAGCACAGAGCTCAGGAGCTGTCTGGTAGCGTTCACTGAGGATGGTGACCTTGAACCAGAGGGTTCCTCCTGGTCCCTTGTGCAGACTCTTCCCCATGATGCCAGGGCCTTAACTCAAAACAGTGAGGCCCAAGATTCAAGGCAAAGGGATGGATTAGGTTAGCACGACTATTGTGACTTCTTAATGAAGAAATTTGGAAAAATTTGGAAAATTCATGCTTTTTGAGTGTTTGGAAAAAATCAATACCTTTCTGGTACAGTTCTTCATTGTTTAAAGATATTTTTTTCATAATTATTATCCAATGTTATCCCTCCACAAGCTTGTGGAGAAGTATTATTATTGCCATTTCATAGACCATGAAACAGAAGTTTGGAAGTATAGTTTGAGAGCCCAAAGGTATCAGAACCACATCTCCAGGCCTAATCTTCTGAGTCCAGGTAAAATCAGTTCAAGTAAGGTATGGACTTAAACACTAGGAAGATGCACTCTTTGATTTTTGTCCTAAAGAAGTTTGAAATCTAGTGAGCAGTAGTAAACAAATGAGCTCTTGCTCCAAGATTGGAGGAAATAAAGGTGAGTGAGGACACAAGCAGAGTCTGTGGGTGCACGGAGGCAGGAGTGATTAATTCGCTCTTTGTACTAAACAACAGCTGCTCTGGAAGCTTTTCGTCAGTGAGCGATTACAGGGTATGGATGAAAGCAGGTGTGGGTGGACGCAGACAGCAGGATGGGCAGGAGGAAAAAGACAATGCCATTTTCAGCGTGCTCTTGGCTGAGGGAGACGTGGAGTGGTGGTGGCTAGCGGATGGACGATGACCGCATTGCGTTGGTATGGCACTTTCGGCACGATGGAAGGTCTGCAGACCTATCTGCCAGGCCAGCTTATTTGATTTCCCTCAGCTCCCAGTGTAGCCTGGTGCTTTTGTGGGCGGCTGCAGTTTTGATGACATTGCAGGTTGAATGTGATAAGACCGAGCTTGTCTCTTTGCAAAATCAAGACTCTGAGAAGATACTTTGATGATGCAATCGGCCTGTCGGGGCTGCTCTGATGTCCTCTGATTATTTTGCAAACTCGTTTCATTTTTCCAGATCTCCCAACTGTTATCTCCCTGCTTTATCTCTTTATCTTTCAACCTTGGTGAACTTTCTTAAGATTTTTATTTAACTAGACACTTACTCCAGAGTCTGCATTATGGCAGTCTCGTGGATTTTGGAATAACTTTATTCCATATGTTTCTAATTCATTTATACTTAATTCATCAAAATGCCCCCCCCCCAATGAGATAGTTAATGCCTAAGATGTTTTATAAGCCTTTGAGTTGGCCTCTTAAAGCATTTTTCTCTTTTCTTTAGACATACCAAGCCATAACTTGTAAAGACTGCATCTATTTCATTAACTCTTACTGGGCTAGAAACTTAAGTGTGTCGCAGAGTTAACAGTCCACTCAGAGCCTCTGTATATTTCCTTTCCTCCGCTCTCCCTCCTTTCTGTGCTTATAGATTATCCATATGGACAAACAATGACTGGACGTTCATGTCCAATCACCACTTACCCACAGCTCAGCCCTTCTTGTAGTCTACTTTCAACATAAAGCAGGGAAAATTAATTTTAACCCCTGTATCTGTTTTCCCTGCAATTAAAACAAATTGACTTGGGTCCGCCTTGTGTCCCACCAACGCCGACGCCTAACCTTGGGGAGGGCTGTGAACTCATAAGCTACTCTGTGAATTTTTTAGACAAGGCTGCAAAACCAAAGCAGTTATTTCTGGAGCCCTGATAGTTCTAAGGGATGTCTGGCCAGGTCGGCCCTTCCACTGACTTCCCTTAGCTCTCTCGTTACTGTCAGACTCAGTGCACAGCTGTGGGGGCATTTGAAGTCCTCTATTTGGCAAAGAAAAACCTGCAGATTCTGGTGTTGCTGAATCTTGCTTTGCACACAAATGCACAACTGATAAGATGATACACGTGTATAATTCAAAGGTAGGTCTGCTTTCTTAATAAGACGATTTATCCACTCTAATTGGGCTCACTCAGAGTTGCAGCAACAGAAGTGAAAGGAGGAAAGGAAAGGGAACCTAGGAGCAGTTACTGCCCAGTGGGCACTTGACATATGCTAACACGTTTAATCCGCACAATTACCTGCAAGGGAGAGCTCTTACTAGCCCTACTTTTAGAAGAGGGAATTGAAACTAAGAAAGCTTTGGTAATCTGCTCATGGCCTCCCCAAACCCCAAATTCCCAGCCAATTTGCAGGGGTGTGAGCCTGTGGGAATGCTTGGGTGTGGGTGGTTTTATGGCTTTTCCCAGGAAACAGCCAGAGCTACGAGGTTGTTCTGCTGAGTCCCTCTTCAGGTCAGCTGCCTTCGTGTGCACCCCTGTCTGTGTGTGTTGTGTGTCCCTCCGACACTTTCAGCGGGCATATAGATCACACGCTCCCAGAACATCAGTCAGGCAGCCAGGCAGCTCGGAGACTCTCATGCACTCAGACCTCGGGCCTCCTTGTGCCAGTCGGAAGTGGGGGTGTGGAGAGTCCATCTGGGGACTGGCATGTTGGAGGAATGGAAGAGAAGCCCCCGGGAGATGTGTGGGAGCAACAGCTCCTCTGGGGATTCTGCTCTGACGTTGAAGTACAGCTGTCGCAGGAGCGGCCCGGCCCCTGCAGCGAAGGGCTCAGTGAGGAGACGAGCCTGCGCGTGGCCCAAGCATGCTCCCATCCATGGCTCACAGTTTCTGAATCAGTAAAATGGAAAAGGCATGGTTCAGCCTACAAATGTCCCACATCCCAGTTCCCTGGCACGTCCCTGGGCACCAGCCTACCACCAGTGTGCTCAGGGTTTCTGATCCAGAACAGATTCTCAAAACGTCCAAACATTTGGCAGGGAAACTATTTCTAGGGATAGGATACACACGGTTATCTGATAGCAGTCCTTCAGCAGGACATTGGTTAGGGGGATTGGTGGAAGGAAAACACTATTAGGAAATGCATTCACTGTGGTCATGTTTACACTCCTTTTGTCAACCCCAGATATGTTTGCTTAAACAGTGTCTCTGGTTTAGTACAGTCATCAGTCCCGCTCAGTAACAGACAATGTGCTTGAATTTCACAAGTGTATGTACACAATCCAAGGGTGGCAGGCAGCTGTCTTCAGTCAACAGTTTCACATAGTGAGAATTCCTAGGGAAAGAGAAAGACATACTTAATACATAGTGTTATACATTATCTGTCTTCTCAGTAACCAACATACCCCCGAATGTATGCACTAATTTAGAAATGTCCCCCCATTTTTAAAACCAAAATTTGATTTTTTAGCCAAAATGTAAATATGTGGCTTACCACATGTCTCACATCCCCAACATGTGAATATGAAATGGCGTGTGCGAACGCTTTGTGAGATTAAAGCTCTGAGCCAATGCTGTTTCACGTTGGAAATCTGATTATATATTAAAACAAGAAAAGACAGCAAGCAGTTGGCTGAAGTATATTTTGTCTCACTTTTCTGTGCCCATTGGTTGGTCTTTAGGGAGACTCAGTGCTTTGCAGACGCACATGGCCCGCCCTCACTCCTGTTCCAGCCTTGCTTGTTCCTCCTGAACCCTGGAGACATGTATCCCATACCCCAAACTCACACAGTGCCTCACCACAGTTATATTTGTTGACAGTGGTGGTCCTCCTGACACCTCCAAACATTTGTCAACGTCCTAGTGGCCTTTTGTGTGTGTGCCTCCAGCATCAGAAGGTGCTCTCAGCTGGTGAGAGACAGTGCAGTTTTGTCACAATTTGCATCAGAACTTTGGATCAAGAGTCCTGAAACTATAGACTTCGGTGAAGGGTGTTGCCTTAAATCACTGTCATTCATCAGAAGTTTTTGCTTTGTCCTGGTTGCTGTGGCTCAGTTGGTTGGAGCATTGTCTTGTAGAGCAAAAGGTGGCGGCTTTGATTCCAGGTCAGGGCCCATACCCAGGTTGTGGGTTTGATCCCCAGTTGGGGTGCATATGGGAAGCAACCAATCGATGTTTCTCACATCAATGGTTCTCTCTCTCTCTCTCTCCCCCCCTTGTCTCTCTAAAAATCAACTTACAAAACGAATGTATGTTTGAAAAAAAGATAATTTTTTTAAAACGTAGTTTTTATTTCGTTTTAAATGAAGGTTTTCATTAAGTTTAAGTGTTATGGGCCCGAATTGCATAAATATCTGAAAGCCACTATAAAACAACAGCAATTGCTTTCAACCTTCCAGAGACAGGCTCATCAAAAGAATCATCTTTCTCTGAATTAATCTATTAGGTTAGTGTAACTGTAATCACATTTTAAGTGGGATGTGCTTTTTAAGAGACTAATGAGTTGGTTCTAAAACTTGACTGGAAAAATAAATTAATGACAATGGCCAAGGAAATTTTGTAAAAAGAATAAAGAGGGGAGACTTATTGAACCTTATAACAAAACTCCCTAAAAAATCCATAATAATAGGCTCACATATTAAGTCCATAGGAAAGAGTTCAGAGACAGACACACGTATACATAATATAACCCAGCTATTTCTAGGGCCCCATATGGCCCAGTGTAGGTAGAGAATTATATTCAAAGACAACAGTCATCTGACCACAGAAGCCTTGAACATGAAGATCTTTAGTTTTTCTTAAAAGAGTATGTTTATCCCTTAAATGATTTTCAGAAATCCTCTGTAAGTAGCCTTCGCCCTCCCAGTGTGGCAGACTGGCGGCAGCCTCTACAAACTCCACCCTCTCTCTGATCCTTGGTTTCGAAACCTAGCTCTCGCCTCCCCCAGCCTTCCCTCCTTCCCACCCACGCCTTCCCTCTTTGTGACCACCTCCCCAGAGGTCAGCCCTAGACAAGGGACATCCTTTCCCAGGGTGGCTGCTTTTCTAGAGAGTAGGAGATTCTCAGAATTCTGGTGGCTGAAATTCCCAACTTCATTTCTTTCTTTTTTTAAGATTTTTTAAAATTGATTTTTAGAGAGAGAGGAAGGGAGGGGAAAGAGAGAGAGAGAGAAACATTGATTGGCTGCCTCCTGCACGCCCCCTACCCAGGATTCGGCCTGAAACCTGAGTATGTGACCTGCCCGGCAGTCCAGCCGCAACCTTTCGATGTGTGGGATGACACGTCCAGCCAACTGAGCCTCACCGGGCAGGGCCCCAACTTCATTTCTTTGGGAATTTAATGTATCTTAAAGCTGGCATTTTACATCACTGGACTAGTCATCATAGGGTTTTGGGATTGTTGGTTATGCATTTAGAAAAAACAAGGTGATATTTATAGTTTACAAAATAAACACTTTGTAACTGTGTGTCATCAGATGAGCATAAATATTACTATATTTGGAACATACTTATGTTTGTAAATACATAGGAACAATGATGAAGCCTATCTCTACAATTTGGGGTTGAAAGCTGTGAGGGGAGACTTCTCCTTTATATATTTCTGAATTGTTTTCAGTTTCTTTAATAAAAATTGTATTACTTTGGTAATTAAAAACAAAATAGTGGTTAAAATACTTACTTACTTATTTTAACTGTTTCTGTTTTAATTTATATTCAGTAAAAATTCACTGTTTTAGTGTACAGTTACGAGTTTTGACCGATGCCTCAAGTTGTATAACCATGACCACAATCCAAATACAACAGTCTCATGACCTCACCAACCGTCTCCCAATTCCTATGTAGTCAAATTTTCCCCTTACCCTTAACCTCTGGCAACCACTGATCTCTTCTCCTCCCCTAACTTTGTCTTTTCCAGAATGTCATATAAATGGAATTATACAGCCTTTGGAGTCTGGCTTTTTTTGCTCTGCCTAGTGCACCTGAGGTTCATCCACGCTGTTGTGTGTATCCATAATTTGTTCCCTTTTAATTTCTGAGTAGTAGTCCACTGTACGTATGTCCCACAGTTTATCCATCCCTGCCCGAGGGAGACCTGGATTGTTTCCAGTTTTTGGTAATTACTAATAACACCACTGTAAACATGTGCGTACAGGTTATTGTGTTTCCTTTTCACTTGGATTATACCCAGGGGAGGGGATTGCTGGGTAAAATGGTAACATACAGTTTAGCTTTATTAGAAACTGCCCAACTGCTTTCCAGAGAGGCTGTACCCTTTGCATCCCCACCAGCAACGTACGAGAGTTCCAGTTGCGCTGCATCCTCAGCGGCACTTAATATTGTCAGTTTAGAAAACTGTTTCCTGCCTAATCTTGCTCGTGGCCTAGTCTCCCCCTCTCAGTAAATGGCACCGCCGTTCCTCTGGTTGCTAAGGCCGAAAGCCCAGGCGTCACACTGCACTCTCTCGCAGACTGGATGCTCGGTCCTTCAAATTCTTTCAGCCCTAAACGTAAAGTACGCGCTGAATCCGACTGCCTCTCCCTACCGCACCTTCTCACTCTCTGGCCTGCACCGTGATCGCCTCTGGCCCAGGATATTCCGTGTTTCCTGATGCCTTCTTCCACAGAGTAGCCATAGCGATCTCGCAGTCACAGATCAGATCATGTCCTTCCCCAGCTCAGACCTCATCAGTGGTTTTGTTACATTCTTAATAAAATCCAAAATGTTTGCTTTAGCCTACAAGACCTTATGCCTCGCTCACTCAGCCTTTTTGCTATTCTTTTTAATAGATACAGAGGAACCACAATTTATTTAATCAGTTCCTATTGATAGGTATATGGGTCATTCCCCCCTTTTCACTGTTATACACAGACTGGAGTGAACATGCTTGAACACAGATCTTTGTGCCCATTGCAAATAGGTCTCAAATTGTGGAATTGCCTGGCCAATATTTTGATAAATACTGCTTAATTTGTCTTTCTCAAAGATTATACTATTTTACACACTCACCAATATGTGAATGCCTGTTTCCCCATATCTTTGTCAACACTAAGTATTACCACACTTCCAAAATATTTTTTAGTGTTAGGAAAAAATAAAATAAAATTAACTCTCTTACAAAAGAGAAAGCTAAGACTCTAGTGATTAAAAGTCTCACTTAAAAGTAGGTCACTAGCCCCTTCCTGTATTGATAAGCTCTCAGGTTTCCAGATTATGTTAGCCTGCTGAGTAAAGAAAGACAGAAATAGCAGAATTAAAGGAGTCAAGTGATGGTTTGAGATGAGAAGCATCTTCTGCCTGTATAAGAAAATGTTAGAATCTTTTTCAAGAAGTAGCATTTCACACTGTACACCGGGAGATCCCATACCACTGGCCAGGTGTCCTTATAAAATATTCCCAGGTGCTTTTTTCTTTCCGAAAAGGAACTTACAACACAAAACCTCAAGCGTTGGCATTGGCGGGAGAGTTACTGGAAGTCGTAGCCCTTGGTGATTTATTATTTAGCAGTGTTGTGGTTTTGACTGAGTCTTACTAGTCAAAGAACAAGAGAAGTCATCTGCTTTGATAACTATGACTGGGTCCAAAACAGGAGCATAGGAATGAGTGAGAAGGGAAATGCCAGCCCGGAGGAGAGAGAGAACACAAGCAGGTGCTTCGTGACACTCGTCTCTTTGAACCCAGAGCCAGCGTGAGTGCTGTGGGCTCAGGTGCTTGCCCGGCCTCACCGCGAGTGGTCAGGGCCGGGCTGAGTCTCAGAGGGCAGCCCCCGAGTCTTCTCGACTTTCGTCAGATAACAAGATGGGCCTGGATGACGGATCCTAACGTGGCATCGGCGTGTTAGAGTTTAAAGGGTTCTTCGAAATGATCTGCTTTTACTCACGATGGGAAAGACAACACTGAGGCCCAGGGGATAAAATGGTTTACATTTAAAACTTGATACTGTTGAATCATGAAGAGGAAGAGCTTTTTTACTTGAACTTGAAAGACATAACATATTCTTGGACAGAAAAGGACTCTTGCCTGAGATTCCTAAGGCAGGAGTGTCGCATAACTAGTGTGTCTGCCACCAAACCATCCGCCCCCGCGTGCCCTGGCAGACAGAGTTAATCAGCTCAGCTCGCTGCTCGGCCAGGCTCCGACACACGCTCCGAATCCTCCTCAGCGCAGCTCTGTGGGCAGCTAGTCACAGTGCGGCTGCGCCTTCATGTGAATTAAATGCCTCTTGCACCCTCCCTCTCCTAAACGATGTACCCATGTGACTCAGTATGTGGTGATCAGAGCACAGGACCTCAAGCCAGAAGAACTTGGCTTGACTCCTGAATCTGCGTGTCCGAGCTCCGTGATCTTAGGCAAGTCGCTCCGCCTTTCTGGGACTGTTTCCTGGTCTCTGAAATGAAGGAGTTGAATTAAATAACCTTTAAGCATCCTTCCAGGTCTGGAAAGTGTTATGATTCAAGGTACACAGGCTTCTCAGGAGGCTTTCTCGGTTACAACCATGTGTTGCAATAAAGACCACAGGGGGCTCTCAGGCAGTTCGTACGTTAGATCTACTTTGGCTTTCTCCAGGATTTTCTGACTACTTCTTTTTCATCTGCTCAGTCCTGCCGACCCATATCTCTGAAACCATAATTAGGGGTTCAAAAGAGAGAGCAGGGGAAAGAGTCCCTTAAAACCCAAGGACCTGCAGGAACCTTTCTGGCCGTGGGGGACTTGAATGGCCTCACTGGCCAGGCTGAGCACATCCGCACGTTTCCTGCCCACCCAGCCCTTAAGGGTCTTGAGCTGCTGCTCCCCCCACCTCCTTACGCTCTGGAGGCCCCCCCGTCAGACGGTCTCAGCAAGTGGTCCTCCGAGGGCCCCCGGCCTCCTTCCACTCCTGCTCCTTGGGTGACCCCGCTCCCTGTTTGTCTTCCAGGCCCCGCTTCCCTTCGGGCATATCCTCTCCTCTCCGTGATCACCAGGCAGCCCACAGTCATCTCTCACCTGGTCCCCGCCGCCCCGGGCATCTCCCAGCCGCTGTCCCGCCACCCCGCCGCCACCGCCGAGGCCGCCCCTGCTGAGGTCGCGGGCGGCGAGCCTCTGGGCAGCAGCGAGTCAGAGACAGAGCAGCTCACTCCCCGGCAGAAGAAACCCCGCCGGAGCCGCACCATCTTCACCGAGCTGCAGCTCATGGGCCTGGAGAAGAAATTCCAGAAGCAGAAGTACTTGTCCACCCCCGACAGGTGAGGACACGGGGAGGGCCTGTCGCAGTGAAGGCGCTTGAGAAGGGGAGGCTCCTTTTGCTCTCGCTGTGCCCCCCCCCCACCAGGACTGTACATGCAGAACCGTGTGGCAGGGTCTAATCCTTGGCCCACATCATCTCAGCCTCAGTTTAACAGCATCCAGCCCAGGGGAATTCACACCGGGCCCCGTAGGAACCTGCCCGTAGCTGCATTTGCACTCCTCACTGTCTCTCCATGTTTTAACTAAACTACATCAGTATAACCAGCAAGGTAAAAGCTTATCAGTTGGTGGCTCAGGCTTGGCGTCTAAAGTCACTCACACTCAGGATCAGATGCGGCGGGACTGGATCGGGAATTGGGATCCATGCTCTCAGTCTCCTCACTTT